GATTACAGGCATGAGCCACTATGCCTGGCCTGATCTGCTAAAATTATTTCTCTCACACCATATCGTTTTGACTTCTGGTAGGCCATATGCTCCATTATTTTGATTTTTCAAAATTTTCGTAAATATTGATAGACATTTATTCTCCCAAATGAAAATCAGAATGCTTTTGCAAAGTGTTCAACAAAACTGCCTTGGGATTTGGATTGGAATTAACTTGAGGAAAACTAGTATATTCCATATTGAGTCTTCTCATTTATTCAAGAACATAAAATGTCTTCATTTCTTCATAAACTTTATGTATGTCACAAAAATTTTAAAGTCCTTTTTAATAGCTACAGCTGATTAACAAGTTCTGAAACATGCATGCCCTTTTAGCTTTTAGTGAATGGGAAACTAAATTAACATGTGAATACCTTTATTTATACTAGGTAGTTGAGATGGACTGAATTTTTGCGTCCCCTCACCAAAATTCATATGTTCAAGCCCTCATCCTCAAAGTGATATTTGGAGATGAGGGATGAGGGATGAGGGAGAGGTAATTAGAGTTAGTTGGGATCTTCATGATGGGATTTAGTGCCTTTATGGGAGACACCAGAGAGCTTACTCTCTCTACATGCTCCCACAAAGAAGAGGTCATGTGAGCACATGGTAACAAGGTGGCGGTCTGCAACCCAAGAGGAGAGCCTTCATCAGAAACCAACCATGCCAATGCCCAGATCATGGACTTCCAGCCTCCAGAGCTGTGAGAAATAAATTTCTGTGGTTTAAGCCACCCTGTCTATGACATTACAATATGGCAGTCCAAGCAGATAAATACAGTAATGTATTTGTTACTTAGTGTGCCCCCAGATTCTGGGTTACTCCAGGCTTCACTTCACAGGTTAATTATGGCCCACAGAAATAGGACAATTGAAACATGGCAATAGAAGGGGCCACTTTGTTTGTAAAGTGCATTTTATTGTATTGCTTTGCATAAGGATTGATTCAGAAAAAATGAAGGATTCTAAGTCACCATTTTTCCTCATTCAAGATGAAAATCTTTTTTTTTTTTTTTTTTTTTTTTTTTTTTTTTTTTGAGACAAGGTGTCTATCACCCAGGCTGGAATACAGTGGCATGATTTGGCTCACTGTAGCATTGAAGTCCTGGTCTCAAGCAATTCTCCTGCCTTAGCCTCCTGAGGAGCTGAACTACTAGCTCTTGCCACCATGTCCAGCTAATTTTTATTTTTAAATTTTGTGTAGAGATGGAGTCTTGCTATGTTGGCCAAGCTGTTCTTGGACTCCTGGCACCAAGCAATCCTCCTGCCTTGGCCCGAAAATAGTTTCTGAGCTTCATATTTCTAGAAATGCTGGCTTCCCTATTTTATTGCATAGAAGAATGCCAATGAGAAAACTGTTATTGATGTTTAGTGACCGCATGTTAACATTTGGGCATATTTGGAAGTAGTAACATGGAAGTACAATGCAGTCATTCCTTATAGCTGTGGGACTTTACTAAATGCATTTATATTTTTATATGAAAAATTTTTTCAGTTTCATTTTATGAATGGAGTAAACTCAGATTCAGAGAAATGGATGTCTATCACAAGGTAGCACAGAACCAGAGCTTGATTTAATTTATTCCACTGAATGAAACTTTTTCTGAGAACTTACTGTATCCACACTATGGTCTCCACCCTAGGTCTTTCTGTGCTGTGGTGGTAGCATTTTCTCTTAGCTTCCTGACCCACTTAAGCCATATTGTACTTATTTAACTCAGGTAGCTGCTGGTGCTCTAAAGATCTAGACTACCACTGGACTCTGAACCCACAGCCAGATGTGTGGTGCTGCCTCTCCTAAGGTGCAAACCTCTCTAATAGTGCCTACCAAACTGGATCCCCTTCTGGACCAGCAATGGAAAAAGCGTGTCTCTTAACAGCCGAGGATTTGCTTGGAAAGCTCTCCTTCAACACTCCCTTTCTTTTCCCCATTCTGATTAATCTGTTTTATATACAGTGAAAGGGAGGTTTGAGATTTGATCTCAGGTCCAAATGAGAAGCTAGGCAGGCAACATGAAACTCACAGGCCTTAATTTACTTATTGTCCTACTTTATCCTGAACCAAACCTTTCACTAGTAGTTCGGTGGCCATTGGTAGTGAAACAATGTCCCAAATTCAACATAAGACTTGCTCTTGATGAAGCAAAAGGAAGCAAAAACATTGCTGAAACAGTAGGAATTTGCAAGGCAAGAACAATGAAAATAATGCCACATTTAATTGAAAAACAGGCAAACTAAATCAAGTAGTGTTGAAAAGACAAGCAATATTTAGTTCTTACTTTGTATTGACTGTGTACAGAGAAGATAAATCAGGAGCAAGATATGTAGCAGTGATTGTCAATATCTGAGGAAAAGTTAATTCCTAAAATTTTTATTCAAAAAATTGCTTACATGTCTTCTAAACTACAAAAGAGTGCACAGTAACAACTTTTGAATTTAAATCTGTAGGTATTTTTCATTCTTCTTTTATAATAGCTTTGTCTTATTTTATTTTATTTGAGATAGAGTCTCACTCTGTCACTCAGGCTGGAGTGCAGTGGCGTGATCTCGACCCACTGCAACCTCCACCTCCCAGGTTCAAGCGATTCTTCTGCCTCAGCCTCCCAACTAGCTGGGACTACAGGTGAGCACTACCATGCCTGGCTAACTTTTGTATTTTTCGTAGGGATGAGGTTTCACCATATTGGCCAGACTGGCCTTGAGCGCCTGACCTCGTGATCCGCCTGTCTTGGCCTCCCAAAGTGCTGGGATTACAGGCGTGAGCCACCATGTCTGGCTATTTTTTTATTTTTACTTTTTTTGAAATAGAGTCTCACTCAGTTGCCCAGGCTGGAATGCAGTAGCACAATCACTGCTCACTGCAGCCTCAACTTCCTGAGCTGAAGCAATCCTCCCACCTCAGTCTCCCAAGTAGCTGGGACCACAGGCATGAGCCACTGCATCTGGATAATTTTCTTATTTTCTGTAGACATGGGACTCCCTGTGTTGCCCAGGCTGGTCTTGAACTCTTGGGCTTAAGTGATTCTCCTGCTTTGGCCTCCCAAAGTGCTGGAATTACAGATGTGAGCCACCATGCCCCGCCTTGTCTTATTATATTATCTTTAGATCTATTATGCCTCAGAAATATTTATGTCAGGCATGGATCGCGTCATATAGGAGAAAAACAGAGAGTGCTTTCAGTATATTTTAAATATTTTCAGAAGAACTACACTGGAACCTCTGTGATTCGCTGGTACAGAATTATCAAATCTGATGGCATTTCAGTATTTCACTAGTAATAGTGTTCTCAGAAGAGATCTTATGAATAGTGCTACCAGCATGGATCCAACATATTTTCTAACGTATTTTGCCCTCAGTCCCCCAAACTCAAGAGAAGAAAATAATACAGTTTTCCTTCATAGAGTATAGAGAAGAAGCACTGTGGTGCATAGAAGAATACAGGAATAGGTGACAGGAAACTGCTGCTTTAGTTTTGGCTCTGAGATTTTTTAACCAAATTATTTCACCTTTCCAGGTTTTAATTGCCTCATCTATAAAAATGGAGACAGTTCTTACATCATTAAATATCTGGAATGATTAAATAAAATAGATCATAACATGGTATCAAGTAGAGAAAAAAAGGAAAAAAATTTTGAGGGGCCAATATATGCCAAGTACTATAGTAAAAAGTGGAACTCTTAAGGGCTCCTTTAGACCCATGATTGTACCAAATCACAATTTTAAATCAAATATTTAACAAAATGCTTTAACTTTAAATAATCCTATTTTACTCTAAAAGAAACTTTAATACATTTTAAGGCTTACTATTACCAATTCTCAAAAAGGAGAATAAATCAACAGTTGAAAAATAAAAATGCTTTCTATAAATATTTCCAGATGTGTCATCTGTTGGCAGACTAATAATTCATAGTAAAAATAATCTGTATATTTTACATTTTTATAAAATATTTTTCAAAGGGGACACTAAATTAAATGTAATAAGTTAAATAAGCATACTATTTAAATTTAACAATAGAAAAATCTCACAAAGTATTGTTATATTTTTCTACTATCTCGATTACTTTATAGATGGAAATTAGTTTCATATAATATTTTAAAACATTCTATAGATAAAACTTTCTCAAACAGAATTTTAATTCAAAATATTACCCATCAAATTTGGGGGGAAAAAGGATTACATATATGAAAATATGCTAAAAGGACATTTAGTTGTACCTGAAAATAAAATTCAGTAAAGTCAAAAAAATAATTAAATATTATAGATTAAAAGCTTTAGCTGTTAAAATTAGAAAAACATCTAGGTACAACTATTAAACTATATCATGAGAGTTTAATAAATGTTTCAGTAATATATTTTTCTATTAAACACAAATATTCATATAAATATTTAGGAAGAATCCATATCTTCTGGTTATAGGTGACAAACCTGGTAGGGTCCCAGGTATTTATTTGACCTTATATACAAATAACTTGAAAGTAGTAAAACACATATTTTTAATCATTTTGGTATATAGCTAGGTCAGAGTTTATTTCCAGTAGTTTTCCATAATTTCTTATTAGAAAGGCCAGCTAATTACGTGAAAAATAATTCAAAATTACTTTATATTTGATATTTAAAAGTCTAGTTAGAATACATATATATATATATATCTTTATAAAAATAAATATCTAAACTATTGATAGATATTTTGTTTCTTAGATTAGGTAGATAAATTAAAATATTCTAGAATATAATCTGAACTCAAAAAAATAGAAATCATCAATTCAACATAAAAATATAGCAGAAAAGTTCCTTTCATGTTTGACACATTGACCATATGTGTCTAGGACAGCCCTCTGAAATATATTTTTTACTCCCTAAAACTTTGTTAAATAGAAATTTGTAATTTTTACTCAATTCTCATTTACTAGGGAGTTTTGCTATTCAAACCAAAGGTTTTCGCGATTAAACCAAGGATTACTAGTTTTTCACTTTTTTATGTTTAAGTGGTATAACTCCTTTACATACCTTATATAATAAAATGTATCAGGAAAAGCTATAACTCTTCAGATGTAATACATAGTTACTTAAGTGATAAAGAGTTAATGAAATTTTCAAGGTCTGCTAAAGAATTTTGAAGTCCGTCATTAATATCTTGACTTCTAAGAAATTTTTTCAGAGTATCTAAAGCAGTGACTGCCTCAGATTTTGATGGTAAAGGCAGTTCAGTTCCTGGAGATCCATCATCATCTTCTTCATCAGAAGTGTAAAATCCAGTTTCATCTGATTTACTTTCTTTGGTGCATACAGAATCACCATCTGGTGCTGTTTCACATGTCTCCAAATCATCATCCAGGGCAGCATACTCTTCTATACATAAACCTTCAGGAAATTCTACTCCTGCCCCCAGAGCATGGGCAACCAAATCCAGACTGGTATCCTTTTCTGCATTTGTTATGTCACTTTCTCCCTTTTGAGATTTGAATCCTGCCTCTTCATAGCTTTTAACAATAGTCTCTGGGGTTACAGCTCTCCAGCAAAGATGCAATGTATCAACTGCATCCAGTAGTGAAAATGTAAATTCTTTGCTACCTTCAACAGAACTTAAAAATTTCTTGATAAGACACTGTCGATATTTGATTTTAAGGCTTTTAATAATGCCTTGTTTCATAGCTACACATTTGGAAGATAAACATGATGGAAAGAAAGCTAACTCAATGGACTTTAGGTTATTTACCTCTGGATGTGCTGGAAAAGACTCAACAAAAATCACCACTCTTCGTTGCTGGGCTTGAAATTTCTCATCAAGCTTTCGCATCCATTGTTCAAATACATCTGAGGTCATCCATGCCATTCTGTTAGCTTCATAACACACGGGCAATGATTTTAAACCTTTGAAACAATGTGGACTTCTGTTTTTTCCAATGACAAGCAAAGGAAGTTTCTCTGAGCCATCCATGTTTGTGCCAACCACCAGAGTTATTCTGTCTTTGCATAACTTTCCAACTGAGCATGTTTCGCCTTTAAATGCAAATGTATTCGTAGGTAACATTCGATAAAGCAGCCCAGTCTCTTTTATATTAAAAACATTTTTAGGATGATAATCATTTAAATAATAAGGAAGTACATTTTGGTACCAGACAGTTGAAGGGTCTACTGATACACCTGTAGCTTCTGCAGGTTGAGCTCTGAATACTAAACCATACCTGGATTTAAAACGATCCAGCCAACCATTACTGCACTTAAAATCATTATGGCCCAGCTTCTGGGCAAAATCATTAGCTTTTAGACGCAACATTGGACCATTAACTGGTACATTTAGACACTGAGCAATTCGATACCACCTCATTAATGCCTCTTCCAGATCTGTGTAAAAAGCAGTTCTCAGTCTTTTTCTTTTTGGATCAAATCTTAGAGATTCAAAGGCTTCTAGAACTTTGTCTTTATTCTTCATAATAGAAGACAATGAATTTTTCTTTATTCCATATTCAGCAGCAATCTCTGCTTTTTTCTTGCCACTTTCCACTGCATTTATGATGTCGATCTTTTCCTCAATGGATAGGCTTTTCTTTTTCTTCACTGTTACAGGCAAAGTTGAGGCATCCACAGGAGCTTCTGCCATCTCAGCCAGTACTTATGTAGAGATTACTCTTCTTACTTCCTGGTGACTGTTTCTTTGATTAAAATTTGTTTTCCAGTATGATATAGATTGCTGCTTTCTATCCTACTTCATATATTAAAAATTGGCAAGGGTCTAACAGTCTTATTTTGTAGGAACTTGATGATGAAATACGCTTTTTCAAAGACCTGAAGAAGAAAAATGTTACATGCAACTACAATATTTTAGAAGAGAAACGTCCTTCCTAGAACCTTGCATAGCTCAATTTATAGTTTATTCGTAGTTCTAGAAGTCAAACTAAAATAGAAATCTCATTATATCAAACGTGTCCAGTCCTGATGATGTATTTTTGACACTTAAATCTTTTAAGATGATCCATTTTATCCATGCACAAATTCAACCTCCTATTAATTCTCCACAGAAGGACTCAGAGATAAGAAGAAAAAATGTTCAACAGTTTTCATGCAAAAATGTTACCCATTAATTTTCAACTTTGCTCATGGTAAAGAAGAAAATGGTAGAATCCTTCTAGAACTTGCCAGTATATCTTCTTCTGTTTTTTGAAAATGTAAAAAAAAAAAAAAAAAAAGCAGCAATTTTAGCAGTATGTCAATTGAATATTAAAAAGAATACTTATACAAATTATTATGCTCTTAATAATGAAAATAATAGAAACATGGAATTACAATAAACAAAATTTCCAAAAGAAATGCTTACCTCCCGAAAGGTCTCTCTGTAAAAGCTCTCTAGTTCTGCTCTACAGATTTGAATTCTCACTTGCCTTTGAATGCTTTATAATATATAGTTCTGAAATAAATCAGATTAATTTAATCTATTCTGAAAATGTGGGCTTACCAAAATTAAAGAACTAAAAATGATGCTGGATAGATGCTTGGTGGCTGTTTTTTACATGAGGTCACAGACTGAACCCTCTAACTTCTCTAAAAGAAAACATAGTCAGACAGAAGTCACAAGGTTCAACTTTTAATAGTACATGGGAGACAGTGTCTCTTTTATAAGAGTCTGACAGAAAATGCTTCACTAAAAAATCAAATCAAGTGATAATTCTATTTTAAAAAAAAATCTAAATCCCATTCTACCTAAAAGCTTAAAAACCCAATACTTTTTTATATTTATAATTTAAATTTTTTTTTTTTTTTTTTTACTCTTATCCTGTTAGTAGGCTAAGAATGCAGTATCTTTTATATTAGCTTGACATATTAGCTGAATGTATAGAGGCCAGAAATACTGGACAAAAGGCATAGAAACAAACAATTAGGAGAGTATAATGCAGAAAGAGATGTAGACTAAGAATAGGAAGGATAGTGACCAGGAGTCTTAACGTGTCAGTCATCTACTTTCTATCTGTAAAAAAAGAAAAAAAAAGGTGCAGGCCACTTCTGAATTGAGAATTCACTCTGCCATTTAGTACTCAGTGACCCCAGGTCATTTACATAACCATTTGAAGCTTCAGCTTCCTGTAAAATGGGAATAACTACAGCACCTACCTCATTATTGTGCATTCAGAGATTCAATGAGAGAGTGTAAAAGCACTTAGTACAGTATTTAGTACTTTAAGAAAGTGCTCAACAAATACATGGTGGTGATCTTATCATCATTACCTGTCTCATATCTTTTGGCTGTGTGAATCTACAATTTGGGAAACTTTATAAAATCCGACTTGCAAACAGAAGCAAGGATCTCACCTTACATGTATACTCAACGTAGGGCTTTTCCTAAGCCGGGAGAACAGTAACAGGCCCCAGATGGGCTCATCTCTACTTTCCCAAGTCAGCATCTCCCTTATCTGAATCTATGGGGCTTTGGGCCTACTATGGTCAAGATAATAACAAGCTAATTTGATGAGCAATGTTACTTCTGCGTGAATGTGGGCACTCCATTGATGAGCAGTGTTACTTTTGTGCAAATGTGGGCACTCCACGGATGAGCGGTGTTACTTCTGTGCGAGTGTGGGCGCTCCACGGATGAGTGGTGTTACTTCTGTGCGAGTGTGGGCGCTCCACGGATGAGCGGTGTTACTTCTGTGCGAGTGTGGGCGCTCCACGGATGAGCGGTGTTACTTCTGTGCGAGTGTGGGCGCTCCACGGATGAGCGGTGTTACTTCTGTGCGAGTGTGGGAGCTCCACGGATGAGCGGTGTTACTTCTGTGCCAGTGCGGGCACTCCACGGATGAGCGGTGTTACTTCTGTGTGAGTGTGGGCACTCCACGGATGAGCGGTGTTACTTCTGTGCTAGTGTGGGTGCTCCACGGAGAAGCGGTGTTACTTCTGTGCGAGTGTGGATGAGTGGTGTTACTTCTGTGCCAGTGTGGGCACTCCACGGATGAGTGGTGTTACTTCTGTGCTAGTGTGGGCACTCCACGGATGAGTGGTGTTACTTCTGTGTGAGTGTGGGCGCTCCACGGATGAGCGGTGTTACTTCTGTGTGAGTGTGGGCGCTCCACGGATGAGCCGTGTTACTTCTGCGCGAGTGTGGGCACTCCATGGATGAGCGGTGTTACTTCTGTGAGAGTGTAGGGGCTCCACTGATGAGCAGTGTTACTTCTGTGCGAGTGTGGGCACTTCGTTCTTCTCGCTTCCAGGTTTCCCAGGTGATTCGCGCCTTTTTGCACAAAATCTTTTGACAAAACTTTTTTGCCACAATTATTCTGCCCTTGTTGCCCAACTCAAAGAAGGAATTTTTATCTTAGTAATTACAACCAGCAAAGGAATTCTTTTTTAAAAAACGTGTCACTTTGAAAAAAGTCTTAAAAATAATGATAGCCCAGGGTTTTAATTTTTAAATGGTTTTACTACCTGTATTCCAAATAACTACGGAGGAAGGTAAAACTGGATTTCATTGGTCCCACAGTTACAATGTGGTTAAGAGCAGTCCAGAATCCAGGCTTTTAAATGTCAACTCAGCATTCTTTTCACTGTATTACAGTATCTTTGAATCACACTGGTGGGGTCTCCTGTGCCCACAGTTACAGATTCTATGCTCCCAGCACCAATCTAAGCCAGCATTTCCAATGCCTTAAAAATAGAAAGCAACATTAGGCCTCCATGGAAGAATAGGCCATTATGAATTCTGTGAACACAAACAGTAACTCTATCTGTTAGAGAGGGCTAACCTAAGTAATAAGGGTTGATCATACAACTAACATTAAAAATCTTGCTTGTATATGGCATCTCCTCTTAAATTTTCCTGTAAATACATAATTCTTTCAAAATGAAAATAAAATACTTGCTCTTATTAGGAAGATACCAACTTTCAGAAATTGATGTAGCGAAAACCAATTTTTCAAAAAAAGGCAAAACCAACCAAATTTCCTAAGAGAATCTCCCAACTCCCTCCCCCTTCCCTCCCTCCCTCCCTCCTTCCTTTCTTCCTTCCCTCCCTCCCACCCTTCATTTCCTCCCTCCCCAATCCCTCCCTCTCCCTTTCCCTTGCTTCCTCTCTCCCTCCTGCCTTATCTCATTTATCAGAAATAAAATCCATCATGTCAAATAACAAGGATTATAGAAAAAGTAACTTGAATTTCTTCTTTTCCCATCCTTGTTAAAGCAATATAACATATATTATCAGACATTACTCATTATCTTGAGAAAATTGAAAATGTGGTAACTTTGTTTAGGAAGATTAAGCTTTTCCCCTGAATTAACATTAGTCAAAGCTACCATTTTCCATGATAAGATACAATATATATTTAGTCCTAAAAAAAATCACATTTCTAATGCCAAACAGACAAATTAGACTTTTTCCCTAGAAAAGAATAAGGCATCAATACTACCTGATCAATGAGGGTGACATTCTCCAAACTCCAACAGTACAACATCTGGGATATTCTTTTGCAAGGAGGAATGGCAGCAGCTAATATTTCTCAGAATAGTCATCCTCTCAAGCTCATTAATCATTCTCCCTTTTGAAAATATTACAGCAGAGAAATGCTGTATTAACACGCTAAGGAGTATTTTCTCTATGTCAACAGTTAAGCTAATAAGAATATGCAATTGGCCAAAAAAAGACTTACCAAATTAATTTCAAATAAAGAAAACAATGGTCAATCCTACTATTAATAAGAAAAACATAAATCTTCTTTTAAAAAAAGAGATACCTTGTTGTTTTTGCCTATCAGAATGGCAGTATCTAGTGTTTGCTAGGGTGAGGTAACAGGTCGTTAGGCACATCAATTGTTACAACAGCTTATGGAGGGCAAATTTGCAATACGATATACAACCTTAACACTGTGTGTAACTTTGTATCTAGAAGGTCTATATCAAGGATTTTTTTTTTTTTTTTTTTTTTTTTTTTTTTGAGATGGAGTCTCACTCTGTTGCCTAGGCTTGAGTGCAGTGGTGTGATCTCAGCTAACTGCAACCTCTGCCTCCTGGGTTCAAGCAATTCTCCCGTCTCAGTCTCCCAAGTAGCTGGAACTACGGGTGTGCGCCACCACACCTGGCTAATTTATTGCATTTTTAGCAGAGATGGGGTTTTACTGTGTTAGCTAGGATGGTCTCAATCTCCTGACCTCATGATCCGCCTGCCTCGGCCTCCCAAAGTGTTCGGATTATAGGCATGAGCCACCTCGCCCAGCCTATATCAAGGATTTTATCCCAAAAGAATAATTATAGATGTAAAAATAATTTCTTATAAATGTATTAGCTTTCTATTGCTGTGCAACCAATTACCATATACTCAGTGCCTTAAAACAACACCCATTTATTATCTCACAGTTCTGTAGATCTTAAGTTCATACAAGATGTCAGTCAGAAACTGGGCTCTTATCTGGAGGCTCTGGGGAAGAATTTCCTTCCAAGCTCACTCAGATTGTTTGCAGAATTCAGTTCCTTGCTGTTGTAGGACTACAGTCTCCAGTTTTTTTTATTGGCTGGTGGCAGGGACTACTCTCAGCTTCTAGATGCTTTGCTCAGGTCCTTGTCTGTGGCCCTCTTCATTTCAGCAATGTAGAGCATTCCTTCTGTAGACTCTCTTTCACACTTTGAATCTCCCTGACTTCCTCTATTGCCAAAAGCAGGAGAAAACTCTCTGTTCATGAAGGGCTCACTTGATTAGGTGAGGTCTACCTAAAATATTGCCCTTTTGATTAATTCAGAGTCAATTGATTAGCAACCTTAATTACATCTGCGAAATCCTCTTGAAAGTAATATAATCATAGCATTAATATCCCATCATGTTCACAGGAGAGGGAATTATACAAGGTAAGGGTGATTGGAGTTCATCTTAGAATTCTGCCTACTACACAGGACTATTCCCTACATTGCTATATAATTACAGACAAAATTGAAAATATACAACAAAAAGGATGCATTTCAATAAGTTATGAAATATCTACATACTGAAATACAATTATGCCACACAAAGAGAATATTTAATGATATGAAAAAGTTCAATGATCTATTAAGTGAAAAAAGTAAAATATAAAATTATATGTCAACAAATACAACATATAATAAAAATTACATCAGAGCAGAAGCTCACGGGTATTCCTACACAGCTCACTTCCAGCAAACCATAGGTTGTCAATAACAATTTGTTCAATTAATGAATAAATATATATCTACATAGATATAAAGAAAAATGCATTGACCAAAATGTTGAGTGTTCCCTCTAGGTAAATGAATTATTAATAGGTTAATTTTTTTTCCTCTTTATAGTTAAAAACACTTTTACAGCTCTAATGCTCTACTTTTTTTCTTCCACAACAGTCAACTTAATGTTCTGCTTTTATACCAAGTTATTAAAAAAAAATCAGTACCAGAAAACAGAAAGTTGGCATTCTTTCCAATCAGAATGTCTAGGGGTAATGAGTCACTCTCCTTTTACCAGTAATTTATGCCCCTCTGCAGAGAATTAACTACTTTCCAAACTTAAGAAAGTACTAACTCATTGTCTTCTACAAATAGATAGAAACTGTATCCACTTAATCCTGCTTGTACTGTTATCCTAAGTAGCGGGAGTTGCTAATATTCTGGAACTTGCCTGGTGTGCAGCAGACAGCATATTTCCATAACTCAACCATAGTTAGTCAATTTCCTGGTGCTATAAGAGAATCAAGTAAGTCTAAAGTTGCAAAGGACTGTTCAGTATGCTTCAAACGGCCCTGTAATTTCCCTCTTCTATGCTTTATTCTCTATTCATAAGAGAATAGAGAAAGGACTAAACAGTCCTTTGCAACTAAAGTTTCATATCTATGTCTATATTAGTATCTATACCTATCTCTATTAGTTGGCTAAATTAGCACTCTTCCTTCAGGTATACAAAAGAGAGTACTCATTTGCAAGATTGAGGCCAGATCTTGGTAAGCCTTTAATGCCAGGATAAAGAATTAGATTTCATTGAGTATGCCACAAATGCCATTCAGGGCTACTAGAGCTCCTCACAAGCCCAATGAATAAACAGCACCTAATTTTTCAAAAGCCAAATAAACAGCCAATAGCAGTGCAAGTAAGGGAGTAGATAATCATAAGTATATATGGAAGGCAGCTATTCCCTTTTTTTGTCTCTCTCCAAAAATAAATGACAATTTAGAGAAAAGTAGTCATCTTCTATTCTAAACAAAGTGAGCAGGCAGGGTCCCTCAAGTTTTAGGGCAAAGGAGGGAAGGAAGGAAAGAAGGGAGAGAGGGAGGAATGGAGGAAAGGAGGAAGGGAGGGAGGAAAGGAGGGGAAAAAAGGAAGGAAAGGGGGAAGGGAGGGAGGGACAGATAGAGGGAAGGAAGAAGGAAGGGAGGAAGGAGAAGGGAGGAAAGAAAAAGAGTAAAGGAGGAAAGAAAAAGTGAGGGGGAAAGGAAAAGAAGGATAGAGGGAAGAGAAAACAAGTCTCTATCTAACCAGGGCTAGGCTTAAAATAATGTTTTTCAATTAGTACCAAAAATATTCCCCAATCCAAAGAACATTGGTTGCTGCTTCCTTTGTCCCAAAGGATGTTTAGAATTCCACTATTTTCCATCACCAGCTGAAGTAGCTTCCAGTGTTTTCTTGGAGCCAGACTACACTCTAATTTCCTTTGGGGCAGCGGAAATCATGGAAAGATTAATCCCATGCATATACAGCCTTGCGCAGCATAATACTGTGGATGAGGATTAATCATACACAGTACCTGAATCTCACTGAAGAGTTTCTAACTTGGTTAGTATCTTCACCAAGCAGAAGTTAGCATTAGTTCCAAGTCCATCGGAATCTCCAACAAAACCTTCAGCTGTCAAGGAAACTATCCAGCTAAAGACAAACTACAGCAAGGCTTCACCTTTCCAAAATAAGAAACACCTCTAACAGTCTAACAATTAGACTAACTTTAGTGAAGCTAAGCATCCCCAAACTCAAAAGACAGCTAGCAGGAATCCTTAAGACAACAGCCAGCTCAAACAGTTCAGTACTCATTGTCCACATCATTTAAGCACTGCTGTGCCGTACCATGCACTTCTTCCAAGTCACCCTTTTGAAACCCGAGGAATAACACCTGTACTTAGCTGCAAGTTCTGTAGCCGCTCTGTTCCTACACAATTACAGCAGTAATTAATTTAGATTGGGATTCTTTTCTTATAATTGACAAGACTAATGGTCTCCAAACCAAGATGGCTTTGTACAGAAAAATTCACAGTAAGCTATAAAGAACTGAAGTTACAGTTTGAGTGGGTTGGCATATATATTTGCTCCTTTTGTTAAAGACAACCACTTAAGATGAGAGATTTATGTTTTGGAATTTCAGTACTGTTTTTGTAAGAGGTGGTATTCTGGAGAGCTCAATCAATATTGTTATTTATGTTGGAAACATTTATGGTGCCATAGGTATTTACTATTCACCGATCTGGGGAAAACACCTGCCAGGGATATTTCACTACACTGAAACTCCCTGGAAATCTGTAGAGGTAGAGTTCTGCCTTTAGACATTAGTCATTAAAAATACCTTGTCAGCTACTGAGACAAGTTAAGGCAGCAGAGAAGTACGGTCTACAGAAGGGTAAATCTCACCATGTGCACAGTTACCCTTCACATTTCTACAAGCGAAATGGGAGTAAAACTGAGCAGCTGTCAAAGGAAAAGCAGTCCAGCAGTTTGAAGGGATATACTGTGGATGGACCAACTGTACTGTACTGTATGTAAATGAACCTCAGGTCTGCCTAGCGCCACGGAGGAGCCACGCTTTCCCACCACTCAGCGCTGGGGATGGGGAGAGTAGTGCATGTTGGGGCCCCTTTTAGGAAACTACAAAAGGCTCTGAGAGAGGGAATTGTTCAGCAGTTTCCGTGTCTATTTAAGCAATGATCTATTTAAGAAGTAATCGGGCAAGCAAAGAAAGCAGAGCTCGGTCATCTGGGAGAAGAAAGAAGAGCAGGAAAGAAAAGTGTCGGGGAATCTACTGTGAGACAGCGAACAAAGCACAAAGCGATCTCAAATCCAGAGCAAGTAAGAGCTCAGGGAACGTAGAAGGGAGGGGGCTGCCCAGGCGCGGGGGCAGCGGGAGGGGGAGCCCGCATTCCGTCTGCTCCCTTATCCTCTCATCCTTTCCACCACCCCACCCTCCCCGCGGGACTGGAATAACCTTCTTCGTGCTCTCCGGTGGCTGAGAAAGCAGCTTTGGCTCTTCCGCGGTAGCGTGGCGGTGAGCTACATCCACCTCCACCCTCCCGGCACCGGCTCACGTTCTGATGGGAAGACGCCTAACGTGTGAGGCTGGAGTGTGTGAACGAAAAGGAGGGATGCGGAGGGCTTCCGGAGACTTCCGACCTCTCAAGACCAGACCGGCGCGCCCTTCCGCAAGCTCCCAGCTCTGGCCAGTGCCTCTGGACCGCGCACACCCTTTTACTACCAGATCGCTGCCAGAAAACCACCCGGGCAACCGCACCGCCAGAGTCCCGGATGTGGTTGCTAGGGCAGCAACGGGAGGGCGTGGCCCGCCTCCAGGAGAGGGGCGGAGGGAGCTTCGGGGGCGGTGCGCTGGCACCACCGAGACGTGGCTGGGCAAGGCCAGATTGAGGGAGAGAGAGGCCATCCAGGGCCAGGGACAACGCTACTTCCGGTCTCCTCACTTCCGGCTTCGCTGCTCTTGGTGCTGGTTCTGGAGGCCGGGTTGAGAGGTCGCAGGTCCGGCTGTCCTGGGCTGTTGGTCAGCGTGAATTTGTGACAGCTGCAGTTGCTCCCCGCCCCCGAGGAGCCGAGGTGCGTGGGGGAAGGGGAAGAAGGAAAAGGTCTGGGTCTCGTTTCCGCTCACTTCTCGCCAGGGTTGAGGCGATTCCAGAGAGCGGCGGAAGGGCTAAGCCTCGACTTACACGCTCCCGAGTTACCCTAAGACAGGTGAGGGCGGAGCTGGCGCGCCGGGGAGAAGGCGGGGGAAAGATGGCTTGAGGTGGTTGGCGGGGCGAACACGTTGCCTCCGGGTTCGCAGTTCTCGACTTTCACAGGGCACGCCTCTCCTTCGTCTGTGCCATATCTGCCCAAGTATTCTGCCTTTGGTTTCTGTTCCTTCAGTCCCTGTCCCTCTGAGTGTGCTCCCGAAACAGTCGAGTGAAGGTGTAGGACCGGCCCTTGCAGGGCGGCACTCTCTTGGCTTTGCATACACTAGGTGGGAAAAAGGGTTGCAGGATCCAGAATTGAGACCGTTCTTGACAAAGTGTCGGAGTGGGCCCCCTTCACGCTTGGTATCCAACCTTCATTTCTCTCCTCCTCTCCTTGCATTCCCCACTTCCTCTCTTCCTCAGTGGGAGGAAGGGAGATCGTGATAGTCCCTCTGAGAGGTTCACCTGGCAGTGGTGCAGGAAGGAGTCTTGCCTGTGAGATGTCCCAAGCCTGACTGCATCTGAGGACGTCCAAGGAATGCTGGAGATTTGGAAAGGGAGTTGTGCGGTTGTCTTCCGCTCCGTTCCTGTTTGCCAAGTTGCTACTGTTTACGTGTCTAGGAAAAGGAAAGAATTTTTTAAAAAAAACAGTTTTTAGACGCTAGACGTTTTTCCCTTTTACTTCATTTTATTATTACTTCCTTTGTTTTGTTCTTATCTTCCTCTTGAGCCCTTTGATTTCAGAAAGTTTATGCTTTACACTTCCTGCAGGTCCTTTAGCCGCTCTTAGGATTTCTGTGCCCCGCCCCTACCCTGTTTTCTCCTAAAGTATATAATTCGTCTAACTCGATTTTTATTGGTAAGAAAAAGCCGGAAGAGATGCAGAATTTTTCACTAACTTTTGCTTTCATGCTTTCACCTGCAAGGGTGTGTTCACGTTTGCCATTTAACTTAATTAGCATAGCAATGTGCACCACAAATACTTACCTTAAGTCAGCCATCTGTTAAGGCTGCAGGAATTCTCTCTCCCTTCCTCCCTCCCTCCCTCGTCCTTTCCCTTTCTGTCTCTCTTCTCTTTTTCTTTCCCTTCTTTCTTTTTTATTTGTTTTCTTTCTTTCATCTTTTTTGAGACAAGGTCTCACTCTGTCACCCAGGCTGGAGTGCATTGGCACGATCTCGCCATACCGCAACCTCCACCTCCCAGGCTCAAGCGATTCTCCTGCCTCTGCCTCCCGATTAGCCGGGATTACAGGCGCGCGCCACTACCGCCTGGCTAATTTTTGTATTTTTAGTAGAGACGATGTTTCACCATGTTGACCAGGCTGGTCTCGAACTCAGTGCCTCAAATGATCTGCCCGCCTGGGCTTCCCGAAGTGCGGGATTACAGGCGTGGGCCACTGCGGGCGGCCAGATTAGCCATTTCATTGCTGTTCTCTCAGGGCGGCTAGAGTCGACTATATTTTACTACTGTTTCAATTCTATTTTCTTATGTTTTTACTGTGGTGTTTTTTTGTTTGTTTACCTTGCTTAGCGTGACCCACGTCTTCTCCCAACCACCAAGTCTAACACAGTTTATCTGAGAAAACATAAAAGAAAATGTATTTTTCTGGATTAAATTCCTGCCCCAGTTACTTTAGTTGCTATTCAAATTGATAAATTGGTTTTCCTTGGATTATGATTTGCCTTAATCCTGGATAATGACTTGCGGTCCGTGGCCTAAGGGTCAGCAACTTCAGGGGTCTTCCTCATTCCCACCCATGAAATTTTCTGCAAAGTCTTGTTTGAGTGAATTTTTTTCCACCTGGGGAAAATGTCCATTCTTTTTATCAAATTCTCAAAGGAGATGTACAGCCTCTTGATAGATTAAAACCACTGCTTACACAGTGTGTTGTTGAAGTTAGTGCAGTGTCTTTTTGAAGTTAGTGAAAGGTGAGTGTGTGTCTTGTTGACGTTAATGAAAACAGGTGTGTGTGTGTCTTGTTGAAGTTAGTGAAAACAGATGTGTGTGTCTTGTTGAAGTTAGTGAGAACGTGTGTGTGTGTGTGTCTTGTTGAAGTTAGTGAAAACAGGTGTGTGTGTATGTTTTTCCCAAAATGAAAATTGTTTGCTTTGGGACCAAGGAAAGTAGAATGCAGGGATTCTTCTAGCTTGATATTGAAATCTCTACTTCGAAACATTAGTGTTTCTAAATTCCTTCATAAACTTAGAGAAGGAAATGAGGCTGCCTACTTTAGTTCCTGATTTGTGGTTTTGAGGTTTCTTTTTAGGGATAGTTGTTTATGATTAATGTTCTGGAGATCCGGTGGATTTACAAACTGATGTGCTTATCTTTAATACATATTAAATATCACCAACCTACTAGGCACAGTTCAGAGTAAAAAATTTAAGTTGTAGTTGTACTTTGCTTTCATTTTTTTTTTTTTTTTTGCTTGAGGCATGTACCTTAGATTTTGATATAGTCCCAGCTTCTTGGGAGGCTAAGGCAAGAGAATTGCTTGAACCCAGGAGGCAGAGGCTGCAGTGAGCTAAGATCTCACCACTTCACTCCAGCCTGGGCAACAGAAGGCGAGTCCATCTTAAAAAAAAAAAAAAAAAAAAAAAGAGAGAGAGAGAGAGAGAGACTAGCTTACGTGAAATTAGTTTCCTTTTAAGGTAATAATGAATTCAGAAGATAGGTTATATCTAACACTGTAACAATTAAATTTGTTTGCTTACCATGTGTATTAAGCTAAGTACTTTACATTATTATCTCATGTGATAACCTTATAAAGTGGCTAATATCCTCATTTCTGTAGATGAAGGAAATAAAACTGAATAATTAACTGAAGCTAAAGTAGATTGCTCAGAATTGCACCGATGGAGCCCGGATTTGAACCTAGTTCAAATCCCTAGTAGTAGTCTGACTCCAGACTAGTACTATAGACAGCTTCTACCAGGTGTCTATTGTGTCCTTTTTGGAATAAGTAGGGGATATCTCACCTGATTTTCTATCAGGTTAATAGAAAAGATTGCTTCCTTTCTTAATCTTCAGTGGATGAATTTCTGGTTGAATATCATACTGAGAAGTTTGATAAAAAGAATTGAATTTGGAGGAGGCCGTTGGTAGAGGTTTCCTATGGGGATGGATATAAGAGTGTGTGTGTGTGTGTGTGTGTGTGTGTGTGTGTATTAGAACATTCTTGAAATATAATACATTCTTGAAAGTATTATAAATTCTTGAAATAAAGATTCAAATAATAAGCAGATGGTGTGTGTGTGTGTATATGCGGAGTGGAAAATGTGAAAATGAAGATTGTAAGTAATAAACTGGGCATTATAAGAGTCTGGAAATATAAATAAAATTTAGAATAATAAAATTGGGATGGAGGAGAAATACAGAATAGAAGAAGGAAATTAAACCGGAAACTTTAATATGGCTATGGTTGAAAAACCAAAATATTTGTACAGAATGGAAAGTGAGTTGTTCCACTTAATATGGAAGTTGTTGACTTAGGACCATGGCAGTCTAAAAGTCAGATATGTAGCACTAGTTCTGGATGTATGAAAATGACTGTTGGTCTGAAAATAATTTTGTTTTCCTTGATCTCTTGCTAGCTTTTGGCAGTCATGGAAGCCACCGAATGGCTTTTGCAGATTATCAGATATTCTTTATGAGACAAAAGTATATATTTTCTTTTTCTCTTTTCTTTATTCCTATTCTTCTCTTCCTCTATCTCTCATTCCATTTTCCTCCATTCCTTCTAAAGCTTTGTCTTAGGAAAGGCATAGACAGATGTTGCTTAAACCTTTAGTTGGTACCTGAAAAATATGAAGTCTCTTTATTAAGTACATTTTTTTCCCTTAACAAGCATACTTATTTAAGTGAATGCTGTTCTTCAGAGTAGGCAGTCTGCTTTGAAATCTACTTCTAGAATGACTGCCAGTTCAGATTGAGACATACAAAAATGAAAAGTTTTTGCCGGGCTTCATCACTTCACCTCAGTCATCAGAATCTAAATAACTTTGGGTGTTTGGAAAAAATCAGATCCTCTCCTGAAAGACAGAGATTTGCGGCTCTGAAGGTAGTTGCAAAACAGGCAATTGCTCAAATCTTTTGTGAAAATATGGCAGTGTCTTTGCCATGTTCTCACCTAAGATAAGAATTTATATTTTATTTTTGTGTATCTGTGATAGCATTGGGCTAGCAGCTCCTTGATGTTCAAGCTCCAGCCTCATTCGTCCCTGGGGAATAGTGACACATTGCCTTTGGAACAGGATCATAAAAGCAGCAGAGTTAGTGGTAAGCCCTAAATCATCCAGATGGGGGAGTTGGTTCGCCAACTTCAGTTTCTGCTAACCTGAGATAGTCATCATAGCACAAATGAAAAATGATTATAATTGTATGGCAGACTAGAGCCAGGCCCTCCCTGGTTACCTGAAAGCTGTGGAGTGAGGGAATTGGTCGCAATTTCAGCACATATGTAATCCATTTTTGGCACACTGGTTGGAAAGCTTTGCCTTCCTTAGAGAAAAGGAGTATGTTACTCTGTT